TGGTGATGTCAGAGGTCCCAGGATATTAATAGTGGCTGGCAGCAGTTCATTGATCAATCTGCTGGAGGACAGCGAGCCAGACAGAAAGGCAGCTGGAAACCCTTCTGGAAGGGACTTGGCCCAGCTCTTCGGGGGGGTCCCTGACAGCCAGTCCTCAAAGCACTGATTCCTGGTTTCTCGATTTCAGAGCGATTATAGCACTGAGATGTCACACCAGCCCTCCCCCTGCAGTCCCCACCCCACCCCACCCCTGTGCTCCCCCTCAGAGATGGAAGGAACTGTGCCCAACTTCTGATCCCTTGCTGATGCTGCTCCTGCTGAGGGATCTCAGTCAAGAGGCTGCAGCCTCCAAGCCTCGATTCCTCATGTGTAAAATAAGGGTTTGTGGAAAATGAGTTCATGAATAAGCTCTGGGTTCAGCCCCCGGCACAGAAGGAAAGAGAGAGACCACACAGGTGGTCCAGCTGAGTCTTTTGTCCTCCACAGCCCTGCTTCCCCTCTAAAAAATGTGTGATCTTGGTGGCTGGTTCATACTTGTACAAAACTTTGAACTATTATCTGCTGACATTCTGTCGAAGCAGAATGCCTGCATTTTTTAAGACTTGAGGACATCGCCCACAATGTAGACAAAATTAAATTCAACAATGGACTCCCAGGTGGGCTCAGCCTAAGATCTCCTCCTTGTATACCTTTTTAGCTATTTATTTATCAAGAGATTTATTGGCGCTAGCTCCTTAACATCTGTCGCTTGACACCCTACCCACCACTGTATGATCAGATCAAACCAACTGGGACAAATGTTATCCCAGTCAAAAGAGACAATTGAGACCAAACCACCAGATGGCTAATCAGAGAGGTCTCCCGAGAATATTGTTCAGATACGGATGGCGGGGAGGAGGGGGTTGTCAGATCAAAATGAAGTCATGCTGTGCTCAGTGGCACTTGCCTATAATAATCTCAATACTTGGGAGACCAAAGCAAGGAAGACTGTAAATTTGAGGCTATTAGCCAGACCGTTTTAAAATCAAGAACAAAAAAGCTCAGTGACCCATATCAGGCCCTCCAAAAATAACTCCAGAGGAGAAGTTAGCCGATGTGGTTAGCTGACTGCCTTTCAACCTACTTGCAGTCTGCTCATATTTGTTTCCGACGCAGAAATATTTTTGAAAACTTCCAGGCTAATTCATAGCTGCTTGGTGCACTCTGTTGTGCACACCTGTGCGCTGGAAAGGCCCCTTACTGATGAGAAGTCATTGCTGGCAGTAAAATGTGTGCATCACGGAGGGATGTCAGCCCCCATGTGGCACTGAGTTTACAGACAGGACTTTCTACTAGCAGTGGGAACTCCTCCAAGCAGGGCTCTCTTCAGGTATCTGCCGAAGTATCTCAAGGGCCATCGCCATAGCCTGTAGTTTACTTCTTTCTGTAAACGGAGATGATTCTTATTGTTGTCACTGTACAGCCTGTCGGTGACGCCTAGAATCCTCCTGAGACACGCCCTCTCAAACACATGCAGCCGCTGTTCTGAGGAGCGTTTCATGTTCCAGGTTTCAGAGCTGTAAAGAAGGCAATTCAGGCTGATCTCTGTGAGTTCAAGGCCAACCTGGTCTACAAGAGCTAGTTCCAGGATAAGCTCCAAAGTTAAAGACAAATCCTGCCTTGAAAAACCAAAAAAAAGACAAAGAGGGAGACCTGAAAAACACTGGATAGATAGCATAAAGGAAGACTGTGGAACCTTGACATTAACACAAGCATCTACATCTAGGACTTCCCAGAATAGGAACAACTGGAGAACCGCCCTAAACCGGCTGCCCATGCATGCTTAAGCATTGCTGGAGCATAAATGATGATGATGACTAACAGTGGGGGACCACAGGGGACAGAAGGGAAGAGGGGCACTTTCGTGTGCTGTATTCTAGACACACCCGTACTTGAGTGTGTACATTAACAACATCTGTACACACGTGTTATTAATTGTTTAATATGAGCACATGGTTAACGGTGGCTGCACTTCACAGCAACTCCTGCTCATCCTCAGTCACATTTAAAGAGCAAAAGTAAAACGTGTAGATGGAGTTTTTTGTCAGGACTGCTGGCTCCCAAATAACCACACAGAGACTTAATATTGATTATAAATGTTCGGCTAACAGCTTGGGCTTGTTACTAACTAGCTCTTACAACTTAAATAAACCCATACTTCTTATCTACACTCTACCACGTAGCAGTACCTTTTTTCAGCATGGCATGTTCAGCTTGCTTCTCTCCATGCCTCCTGGCAAGTCCCCCATGACTCCGCTCTCTTCTTCCCAGCATCCTCTCAACTTGGTTTTCCCAACTCAGCTCTTTTTGCCTAGCTATCAGCCAGTTGGCTCTTTGCTAATCAAATCAGGAGGCGCCTTGGCAAAGACACACCTTCACAGTATAGAAAAAGATGATTCCATAGCATTTTTTCTCTTACCCAAGATCCACAAAGCAAAAGTCACAAACTCATTTCCTATGAAGCTGGAAGAGGAGGCCTAAGCGAGTGAAGGAGACCCAGCCACAGGAGCACTGTGGGAACTAGGAGGCCCTAAAGATGAAGTGCTATCAGGCCGCTCTGACCTTGGAGACATCCCAGATGACACACTCACTCTCTTTGTGCACTGGGCACTAAGTAAAGGCCCTTTTCAAGGTCTGCATCAAAGGCTTCTGCCAACAGTTCTAAGAGGGGGGGTCTATTAGCATCTTCATCTAAACGGCAGCTCAGAGAGGTTGAGCCACTGATCCTAGATCACACAGCTGGACTTGCAGGGCTAGTTTGACTAAGAATTTACCCTTAATTGGTCTTTATACTTTGAATACTCCAAGCAGCAATACTCCGCACAGGACCACCTTGCCTCCTTCAGACACCCTTACAGACCATTGTAAACAGAATGCACACACATCCAGTGTGTTTTCTGTGAGATGCAGCTGACACATCATAACAATTTAGCATTATTATTTTTATTCTTCTTGTTTAATGATGCTGAGTCTGGGGACTACCCTGAAGCTCACCATCCTCCTGCCTTTGCTTTCCAAGTGCAGGGGCTATAGACCTGAGCCACCATACCTGTCTTGAGACTATTGGAATAGTTTTCCTGAAGTATAAATGCATAGCATAAAGTGACTTGTTTTAAGTGTACCGAAGTGACCCTTCACTGCTTAATCATCCTCATGTTCCTTGAACACTATCCTACCTCCCACTCTTAGCCCCAAAAGGCCATTGACCTGTTGTGGCTCTCCAGAACTTTGCCTGGTTTTGGCCTTCTGTGAAAATGAAATCCTAAGGCACATTGTATCTGTGGCTAGAATTTTCCCTTTGGTATGGCAGTCCTGAGACTTGTCCTGGATGGAGGGGTCAACTCATTCCGTTTAAAAACGATTTTATTATTATGGGGGGGAGGGCACATGTAGTAGGAGCTGCGGGCCTCTTCTCACAGCCCGGCTCCCGGCTGCCTGGATAGCTTATGCCCCCAAAATAAGGACACACAAACTGTATTCATATAAACACTGCTTGGCCCATTAGCTCTAGCCCTTACTGGCTAATTCTGATATCCCGATCAACCCATCTCTAATAAACTGTGTAGCACCAGTCTTACCAGGAAAGATTCAGCATGTCTGACCTGGCGACTTGCTTCATCATGTCTGCCCGGGAGAGGGGAACATGGTGTCTGAGTTCACTTCCTCTTCCTCCCAACATTCTGTTCTGTTTACTCCATCCACCTATGTTTTAACCTATCAGGGCCAAGCAGTTTCTTTATTAGCCAATGACCTTCCTCCATCAGGCACATGTGCAGGTCAGAGGACATCTTTGTAGAAAAGCTGGTTCTTTCTCCCACCCCCCACCCTCCCTTGACCTGGGTCCCAGGATTAGAACTCAGACCCTGGACTTATACAGCAAGTATTTTGCCTGCCGAGCCATCGCCCCAGCCCCAGATTGCCCTATAATCCCTAATGAGTGGGGTCCACTCCAGAAGAGTCTGTGGTTACATTTCCCAGGCAACAAGCATCTGGATTGTCCTGCATGAGTATTTGTGTCTTCTCATTTTAGTTTTTTGTGCATGTGTGTCAGACAAGTTCTCGCGTGGTCAAGACTGGCCTTGAACTCCAAGTACTGGAATCATAGGACTGCACCTCCAGGTCAAGATCATAGTTTACTTTCGTTTCTTTCTTAAGTTATAAAAACAAAAGGGTTAATTTTGGCTCACGGTTCTGGAGGTCCAAGGTAGAGGGACCACAACTATGCCAGCAAGGCCTTCCTATGGTGTCAAGTCCCCAACAGCGGAGTCAGGTGAGAAAGAGTTCTTGTCACAGTTTAGTTAGGAATTGAAATGAGAGTCTTTGCTTCTCTTGAGACACTATGGGAGTGGAGTTGCTGGGCAACCTGGTGTGTATACTTTTAGCTACCTGCGAAAGTACCAACTATTTTCCACAGTGGCTGCTCTCATGTTCACATCAACAATGTAGTAGGGTCATTTAGAGGGCTTCTTCAAGTGAGTGTTAAGTTCTACAGTCCCTTTCTTTTTCAAAGCGATCATGTAAGCACCAGTCTTCCAGATTTCACCCGTTCTGCTGGGAGGAAGAACAAAAGATGCATGAGCCCTCGGCGTGAAACAACAGCCACACTCCACAGTCTGGAAACTCAAAACTCCTGGAAAGCCCTGCAAATATCCATTCCACAAAGGACCAGCAAGAGCTCCCTAGAGCCAGGCTGGAGATCTTGGCCAGACCCCAGCCCCGCCCACTCCGCTCCAGGAGGCGGGGCTTAGCTAGGGAGGCGGGGCCTAGGGGCCGGGATGAGAGCACGCGGCTCCGGATGATTCCGCCTACCCAGGGATAGGCTGTTTCTGACAAGGGCGGAGCTGGTGGGTGGGGCCCAAGGCGTGCGCTCCGCTGTGAAGCCCCGCCCACCGCGCTCCGCTCCGCTCGGGGGGCGGGGTCTGGGGAGGGTGAGGCACGGCCCGGTGGGGCGGGCACACGGCCACGGCCCCGCCCACCGCGCGGTGTTGGGGTTGGTTCCCGAGTGGGCAGCTCCGGAGCAACGCTTGCTCGCGGCGCGCCATGGCTGGGCTGCTGGTGCTGCTTAGCCCGGCGGGAAGAGTGGGCTCCCGGATACTGCCCCGGACCCCTTGGCTCCTGGGAGCCGCCACCTCCTGCGCTCCACCGCTCTGGGCCTTGGCCTTGTCCCGCCCCGGGCCGGACTCCCGGCTGCTGCACACGGCCCGCAGGGACTGCCTCAGCCGCCAGGTAAGCCTCCCTACACTTACTCGGACCCTGAACCCCAAGTAACCCAAGCGCCGTGCCAGGGCCAGTCCCAAGGACAGCTTTGCATTGCACCTGCCCAAAATGTGTCACCTCCGGGGTCCCTGAGTTCTCAGATCGCTAGAATCGGAAAAACATCTCTTTCAGTTAGCAACCTGAGAAACTGAGGCTTGGGGTGGTGTGGTGCTCGGCCCAAGGTCATGGAGTCTCCTGCCGGGCCCCAGTTTCTAAAGCCAGAACAGTGGCGTTACCGAGCGGCCTGCAAGGGGCCTGAACTCACTATGAACTTCCAAACCGGCCTTTGAAGTTTTGTCCATTCTGAAGTTCAGTTCAGGCCTGGGCACTGGGCCCAGGAGGCGTCTTCTCGGGGGTGCGGGTGTATCGACCGCCTCCCTGTGCCGGTGGCTCCTCCCTTTTTATGTAGCTGGAAGAGCGGGCTCTCAGGGCAAGCAGTCCGTCCTGTTTCCTTATGCTTGCCTTCCCTGAATGCTAAGAGTGAAAACTAGCTTCCGTTCAGCCAGCAGCGCAGCTCAAGAGGGTCTCTGAAGAAAGTAGTGGAGTACCCAGATCGGAAGCGTTAAGTCGTGTTGCAAGCCTGGATCCCTGCAGGAGAGGGCTTCCAGCTCCTGAGTCTGGACCCACCCATCCCTGGGCTGTGTGACCTCAGACCCAGAGCCCAGGAGGTCTGGACCTGAGCTGGCCTTTCAGAAGGCTGAAACTGGCACCTTGCCACCAAGAGTCTGGAGGACCACCGCTATGAATCAGGCAGGTCTGAGCCCTGTCTGCCCTTGTTGCTTTTCAGTAAGTAGCCAAAGGGATTAGTCCCTGTACTTGGGTGCCTCACACAAACATGGATGGGCTTCCTTCTTTCCCCTCTCCTCTCCTGGGTGACAGACAGGACACTGGCGCCTCGTCTCTAATCCTGAGCTCAGGGCAGGATGCTTAGAACATACCACCTGCTTCCTGATGATTCTGCCTCCCTCTCCTCCAGGAAGTCTTCCCTGACTGCCAGTGGTGTGCCCCCCACCCACCCACGCACACACAGTCGCTTCTCTGAAGTTCCAATCTCTGCCTCCGTGATCTGGAACAATCTCTCACCTTGTTCCACCACCTCAGCCCTGCTGGCAGCCCAGACTCTGCCTCGACCAGCGTGTGTTCACAGCAAGGATGAGTGTGGTCTCCAGCTCCTAGGATCCCTGTCTTTGCCTGCTAAGTCAATAACCTTGATCGAATGCTCTCACGGTTCCGTGTCTCTAGAATGAGATGCTAATAGGTCTTTTCCCAGAGGGTGAATATGATAAGAGAGAGCATGCTAGCAGGCATCTGGTACATCGTGCCAGACTTGCAGTCCTCGGTGTGATTACACACCACAGCAGGGCCCCAGAGCCCAGGGGCCAAGCTTGCCTCTTCTGCTGATTGAGAGAGGGATGGAATCAGAACCTAACAGAAGGTTCGAAACCTTCGCTGTGGGGGAAGGGCCTGCCTAGGCCTCAGTCCAGCAATCCCACTCCATTTCCACTCTGGCTGCCTTCATTAGGAGGCCAGCTGGGGTCTCCAAATGTTCTAGACATTAAATCAAGTGTCTGAGGGCCATGCCCACCTCTGCCTACAACAAGGACTGCACTGTGTCAGAGAGGGGGAGACACAGTGCCCCAGAGGCCTGCATTTTTCCCGTAACATGATTCAGGGTCATGTAGAGCAAGTGGCCCACTTGGGGTATGGGGAGGGGCGGGCACTGTTACACGCGCGGCTTGCTGGCGTCCCTTATCTGACTAGCAGCACCCGTCCCACCAGCCCCTCGAACTCCCTCTCCTGGTCTGTCTTGGTGTGTCCTCACCCTGCTATGTGACTGTTGTCCTCTGCTCCCGGGACTCGTAGTCTCCTTTGAGGTGGGTCTGTTTTGCTCGTTGGACTGTCCTCTACTCTGGAACACTGTGACCCAGAGAAGAGACAGAAGGCCAAGTGGTGGGACTGGGATCCGGTTAGCTCCTGTGCTGTCCTTGGTTACACACTCAACCCCTCGGGGCTCTGCAGGTCCTCTTCCGTTCTTTGTGGGGGGTGTTGTAAGACTAAAGTTTTCCCGGCATTCAGAACACTCTCGGTACAAAGTCAGCACGTGCGGTGCTTATCAAATGAGTGGAAGCAGGTGTCCCAGCACTGTGGTCCTTTTCTGATAAGGCTTTCCTCTGGCTGTTTTGAAACACCGTCTCGTGTACTCCAACCAGGCTGGCCTCCAGTTCAATAAGCCTTGAACTTCTGGTCCTTCTGCCCCCACCTCCAAAGGGCTGGGATTATTGGTTTAGCCCACCAAGCTGGGTTTATACAGTGCTAAGAAATAAAAGCTTTGCACATGCTAGACCATGTGCCATGGAGCCACATCCCCGCTTGAGCACTTTGAAGTCAATGTCACACACTCAGGGCAGTAAGCAGTGATACTCTATGGACAATGAGTGTCTACAAATGCCCCCATTGCTTGCAGGTCACGCTCATAAATCCCTTTGGTTTGGCTTCTTTAAACCCCTCAAGGACTTGGAAGAAAAATGCATGGCCCTTTATGTCCTGCAAGAGTGGCCATTCCTAATAGGAGAGACTTTTCCAGGATGTTCCGGATCTGGAGGACAGGAGAAAAAGCTGCCAGCACCTTCTTTTATTGGCCAGCACTTGCCCCTCTCCTGTGCTTGAGTTCTGCACCCCCTGCCGAAATGCTCACAGAGGCCCTGGTTCTCCCTGATAAGTAATCCTCTCCCTCTGGGCTGGGCTGATAGGATAGTCTGCAGCCCTTCCCAGTGCCTGTGTCTCCCTTAGACCAGTGTCAGTCAAAAGCCCATTGAAGCTTGGCCCGGGCAATCTCAGTTATGGCCCATTCTCCATGCCCCAGAGCTGCCACAGCTGTCCCTGATGAAGCCCCTTTGTCTCACACCCTCAGGTTTGGCAAAAGGCCTTCTGGCCCAGAAAGGAGACTAGAAAGGCAGCCAGACTTCCATCTAGAAAATAAATAGAGGCTTCTGCAGGGCTGGCGCAGCAAACATCAGGACCAGACTTTGTTTAGAGAGGGGAGCAGGCTGAAGAGATGGTTCAGAGCCCTGACAACTCTTGCAGAGGACCTGGGTTCAATTCCCAGCATCCACAGGATGGCTCACAACCATCTGTAACTCCAGTCCCAGGGGATCTGAGGCCTTCTGGCCTCCATGGATGTACTAGGCATGTACTTGGTGCAAAGATGTACATACATGCAGGCAAACACCCATACACATAAAATAAACAAATCTTAAAGTGGGAGCCTTGGAAAGCCTTATGGTACTGTTTGATTAGGACTTACAAGCTACAGTGGAGGGACTCTTAAAGGAGGTAGCATTTGCATTTGTATCAGACATGTGGAATGGACACGCGCGCGCGCACACACACACACACACACACACACACACACATACACACACACTCTTCACTCCTAGAGCACAGCCTGAGCTAGCAGGGCCAGGACAGAGGGTCAGGTGAGCAGGGCTTTCTCTCTAAGCTTAGTGATTACTTTCCAGTCACCTTTGGAACTGATGACAAGGCCCAGTCCCAGGCCTTTCCCCAGATCTGCAGAGCTAAAGCTGGGCTCACGCAAGTAGGTACAAACAGAAGAGCTCGCGAGCTGCCCACTGATGAGCATCCACGGTCAGCAGAATTTGTGCACCGGGTGCTGGGGAGGGACACAGCAGGGTCATGAGCCTTATCCCACAAGTGCAAAGTGAGGGCCTGAGGGTCCAGAGCTGCAGCAAGTGGCTGCCACAGCAAGGATAGACCTGGTGGTCCCCTGCAATGTGGTAGAGCTGGCTGTGTAGATTTAGTTGGTGGGTTTCCTTCTCACTAGGGGTATCCTGGCTCATTTCCTGGGGATGCTGGCATGCTCATTCCCTTTGCCTTTGCAGACGCACACGTTAAAATCAGGAAGGAATGTGCCCAGCTGCAAGATCAGTAACTAGAGGTGACTGGCAAGAGCCAGACTCATAAATCCTTTGGCTAAAAGCACTCTCTTGTAGAGGTGTATTTTGTCTAATCCAGATGTGGGTGGGTTCTCTGTTGTCTGTCCCAAAGTTAAGATCACCCCATGTAACCAACCAGATGTTCCAGTAGGTAACACTTGCCTTGTACACCTGACAGCCCTGAGCTCAATTCCTGGTCCCCACCGTGTCCCCATAGGCTCAGTCGTGTAAGCACTAGGTCCCCAGCTAGTGACTCTGTTTGAGGAGGTGTAGCCTTTCACTGGGGGGTAGCCTTTCACTGGGGGGTGGCCTTTCAGTATAATCCTGCTCCACTTCCAGCTCATCCTGTTTCCTGATGTGATCTCTCAGCTTCCTGCTCTGGCCACTGAGCTGCCCCTTGCTGCCATGCCTCTCAGGCATGATGGACTCTTCTCCCTCTAGAACTGTGAGCCAGAACGAACTCTTTCACAGGCTGCTTTTGATCGTGGTATTTTACCACAGAAAAGTATCTGATACACAGATGTAAAGGTGCTTGAAAAGAATCGACTCACCAAGTTGTCCTTTAACTCCACGTACATACTGCAACGTGCGCACCTGTGCACATATATGTGTGCACACACACACAAATAATGTGTTTTTAAACAGAAGATTGCTACATAGCACGGGTAATTTCTGTACCCATTCTGGTCAGTATTTTGTCCCGGAATCAGCCTTCCCTGTCATGTTTCCTGTCTCAGCGAAGGCACATGACTTTTGGAGCCCCATCCTATTCCAACCCACCCCATCTTGGGGTAGTACAGACATGAAGTTGTGTGCTCAGTCCACAGACTTGGATGGTCTGAGCTCTCATGGGTCACTTTTCTCCTTTCGGTGACCACATAGTTGACAAAAGCAACTTCAGGAAGGACGGACTCACTTTGGCCCATGCATTGAGACTGTAGTCCATTGTGGCGAAGTCATGGTGGCCGGAGGGTGAAGGTGTCTGAAGTCAGGAAGCAGAGCAAGATCAGCCTTGGCACTCAGAGCACTTTCTTCTTACACAGCACTGTCCAGGGAATGATGCCACCTATGTGCAGGGTGGGTTGTCTTCCCTTTCTTAGCTCCTGTGGAAACTCTCACAGACCTACACACACATGTCTCCTACAGTCATTCCAATTGAGCATTGCAGCTCTGGCCTTTATAACAAGCCTGCAGGGCTCCTCTGGTGCTTGACACATTCGCTCCTGTGCTAGAGGTCAGGAGTCCAAAATCTGCCTCGCTAGGCTAAAGGCAAGGTGACATCAGGGCCAGTTTCTTCCCAAGGTTCCAGGGCAGAATCCACTTCCTGCAGCTCGTAGGCCTCCCACCCCACCCACGCCCACATATCAGTAAACCAGGAGAAGAGCATCTTCAAACCTCTGCACCCGCTATCACCTCCTCTACTCAGACTCCAACTCCTGCCTCCTCCTTTCCCTTATAAAAACCCACCCAGAAAAATCCAAGTTAGCATTTCCATCTCAAGCTCCATGCCCAGATCCCATATGCCAAGTCCTGCAGTAGGAGGTGACCTGGCCATCTCCGGGGCCATCGGGGCTGACCTAGCCCTGGCTTAGTGGGAATGAGCGTGATAATTGGTGTCTATAATAATAATAATAATAAGTGGGTAGAAAGAGGTATAAAACTCAGGTAAGGGTGAACATCTGTGTTGGCCACCAACCTACCCTCCCTTTGCTCTGTGCACAGGAGCCCAGCAGAATCACTGAGCCAGGAAGCGGTGCCAAGAGCACAGAGGGAAAGCTAAGCAAATCACAGCAGCTGAAGAAGGTCTTCCAGGAATACGGGGCCGTGGGCGTGTCGGTGCACATTGGGATCTCGCTGGTCTCCTTGGGGATGTTCTACACAGTTGTTTCCAGGTACGATTTGATTTTCAACAGTGGTCACCATGTGGCTGGATGTGGTAGCACCAGCCACACCTGTAATCCCAGCATTCAGAAGGTGCAGGCAAGCAGCTCACAGGTCCAGGTCATCCATCCTTAACTACATAGAATTTGAGGCTAGCTTGGGCTACATGAGACTCTATCCCAAAAACATTTTTTTGTTTAGTTTTGTTTTCTTCCTCTGTAAGGTAAGCTAAAAATGTGGATGAATTTTATTATTGGTTTTGGGGGTGTTTTGGGGGGGAGGAAGTTCGTTTGCCGAAACCTACGTACTCATCTTTAAAAGTATGTATAGTTCATCTGGGTCAGCAAGATGGCTTAGCAGGTAAAAAGTACTTGTCAGAAAAGTCCGGCTATCTGAGTTCTACCCCGGAGCTCACAGCGGAAAGAGAGAACCAACTCCTGGAAGTTGCCCTCTGACCTCTGCATGCATGCCATGGCATGTGCGTTGCTCATATTCATACACACAATAATCATAAGGGTTTGTTTAATAATAAAAAGTAAAAATACTGTCACCCTCCTAGGCAGTTCAGTTTCTTCCTTTAATCCCCGTCTGTGACATTTTCTTTGCCTCTTTCTCCCCCAGTGGCATCGACATGTCTGCCGTCCTGCTTAAGCTTGGCTTCAACGAGTCCCTGGTGCAATCCAAAATGGCAGCCGGCACCAGCACATTCGTGGTAGCCTATGCCATCCACAAGCTCTTTGCGCCCGTGAGGATCAGCATCACCTTATTCTCCGTGCCCTTCGTTGTTAGATACTTACGCAGAGTGGGACTCTTTAAGCCTCCAGCCACCAAGCCATGAGGAAGCCAGTTTCTTCTGAACTACAGGATTTGGGTTGGTTTCAGGGTGGGGTTTTTTGGGGGAGTATGGGGCAGAGGCTAATGACTGTGTTCATTGGGGGTTTATTTTACTTTTGCCAGCAATAATCTGGTGTGTTAATTTACTTTTTTAAAAATGATATTCCTCGAGGAGCCATGTTCGTGACTTAAAATGTCACCAAGGCTTCAAAATGAGTTGACAGCCACTCACGGTGGTCCAGGCCAGTAAGGCCAGCTACTGAGGAGGCTGAGGCAGGAGGATCTCAAACTCAAAGCCTGCTTGAGCTACTGCGATTGGGGTCAACAGTGAAGGGAGGGGCAAAGGGCATTGGCAGCAGAGCCCTCGCCCAGCACAGCAAGAACCTAAATTTGATCCCAGTACAAAATGGGACTGCCTACAGAATGCCTCTTAGATCATTAGGCAGGAGTCTCTGCAGCGCCCCACAGGGCTAACCTTGGCTCAGGTTCCTGAAAAGCAGTGGTTAATTTGAGAACACCCTCTCGCCTGATTTATCACTGGCAGCAACCTGCAGTTAACACACAGTATTCTGCAGACAGCTGCCAGCACCAGTTAATCAAGGAAAAATTAACAATCCCTAATCACAGTCTCCATTAACATCAAGCCCTTGACCTTCGTAACAATTGTGTCCAGGAAAACCAGCCATGAGCTTCTGGTGTGTTCACTGACTCCAGAGCGACTTCGTGTCTGGGTGTGATGAGGCTATTTGTCTGCAGTCTCACTGATACGGGGCAGTATTGTTTGTAAAGTATGGAAACGCGGCCCAGGTGTAACGGCGTCACTTGGCTCCTGATGCCCATATTCAGTGGAACTCAGATCCTTCCATAGAAGCTAAAAAACATCCTAGCTTTCTCAGACAATCCTCTTAGCTATCTAAACCTTGAGACATTCCAGAGCTGACACCATGTTTACAGTGTGCCACTGTTTATGTTTTTTAATTGATTGAATCATATGCATGAAGTATTTCTACCACTTTCCAAAAAAAAATGGAAAATGTTGTCTGTTCCGAGTAGAAGACAACCGTGTAGGACTACAAGCCGAGGGGAAGAGAGACCTTAGGGTTCTATTGCTGTGATGAAACACCATAACCAAAAGCAATTGGGGGTGGGGGGTTGATTTCACTCACACGTCCATGTAACAGTTCATCATCAAAAGCAGTGAGGGCAGGAGGCAGGAGCTGATGCAGAAGACATGGAGGGTGCTGCTTACTGGCTTGCTCATCAAGGCTTGCTCAGCCTGCTTTCTTACTCAGGACCAAAAGCCCAGGAATGGCACCACTCACGATGGGCTAAACCCTCCCCCATCAATCACTAATTAAGAAAATGCTATACAGGCTTGTCTACAGCCCTTTCTTATGGAGGTATTTTCTCAGTTGAGGTCCCCTCCTATCTGATGACTCTGTGTCATGTTGACATAGAACTAGGCAGCACAAGAGAGTGGGACAGGTTTAACTACAGTCCACCACGGGAGGGTAAGTGTAGAGGGTGCGTTTAAGAGTAGAAACCAAAGCAGACTCTCAAGCCGAGGCTTCCTCCTCCAGGAAGCCAGGAGCAGGAATTGGCTCCATCGCTCAACCCTCCCCTCTGGGCAGGCACTTGTTATGTCATATCCAAAAGAAACTCCAGTCCCCAAGCCCCAAAGGCAGTCCAAAGATCCAGGAATGGGGTCAACCTAGACTAAAGGATTTCTGGTGGTTACATAAAAGCCAGCATTCCTCAGAACTTGTGAAACCGGTTCCCCTCTACCAAAAGCAGACATTTCCCTTCCCTCTGACAGAAGGGAGCTATGGCTACCTGTGGCTATCAGCATATCAAAGCTCATGCTGGCATCACAAGTACCGGCCACACATCTAAGTCCATGGTAGCACCTCCTCTTGTACCAAACTCCCTTGAACTCGCAGGCTTCCCTTCCCCAGCTACTCTCCTCCGCTCCTGCTACTGTGTTCTCTCACAGGTATCCCTGGTTAGGTCTAGTCTGGCTGTTCTCTCCCCTTAGGCACCATATCAGTTTATACAGTTCTTCCCTGGGGAGCCAGATTTTGAAGTCGGCTCAGCCGCATAGTGACAAGGGTTGCATTCGTTTTTCTTGCTCACAATTCCGTTGACAATCAGAAAATACAAAGAAAGCACTGCTAGCTGGCAGGAACACATTTTACTGAAATCTGGCTGACAGTTTCTTAGCCCACAGTCACCCACACCATTTGTCGCGATTAACATTTAAAAGAATTTTTGTGAGACAGACTCTCCGCTTGTAAGATCTTTAAAGTGGGATTGCAGTCTTTTCCTCTTTGTTTTTATATTTATTTTATTTATTTATTATGCATACAATATTCTGTCTGTGTGTATGCCTGCAGGCCGGAAGAGGGCACCAGACCTCTTTACAGATGGTTGTGAGCCACCATGTGGTTGCCGGGAATTGAACTCAGGACCTTTGGAAGAGCAGGCAGTGCTCTTAACCACTGAGCCATCTCTCCAGCCCCAGTCTTTTCCTCTTAATGCAGCCCACAGCTGGAAGCTTTTACTGACTTAAGATCAGGAACTAATCCACAAAGACAGCCACACAGCTGAGAAAGAAGCCCCAGGTCAATGTCGGGGGCTTGTGTGGACTAGATGGAGGGAGAGGTCTCTCCATCTTGCCCAGCATGGACCCCCACCCACCCTACTTGCCCATTCAGGTTCCTTAGTAACACCTATGCAAAGAAATACATTGAAAGTAGCAATAACACTAATTGTACCCACAGCATGTGTCTTTCAAGCCAGGAACCAGAACCAGGGGTGAGTTGAGAGGTTGGAAGACTAAAGAACCATATAAACCAGCCAGACAAGCAGATCTGCTCCTGTTACCTTCAGTGGAACTGGAGCAAGGAAACCATCTTAAAACGCAAGCCATCGTTGGCCTCTAGTTTTCTAAGCAGACCCACTGACCAGCTTAGATTCTGTGAAACCAATAAGAACTTTTGTAAAATGATGTGTTCTGTCATCTTTAAACCGTTGCTGCTGCAGGCTAGGAAAAGCATCCTGTGGATGTGGCAGCAACCAGCTGCTGGTGTGAGCTGCAGGCACCAGTGTCCCACACTCGGCTTGGATCCCTGTCGTTCCATCACAGTTAACTGCAGCTGGGTGGACAGGACTTGGAATGGTGCTATTTCAACCACGTTAGTTTAGACTGGGGACCAAAAGCTTATTTACCCCTATGCAGTTCCACTCAGGCTTGTAGTGAACGAAGTGTGAGGATGGTCTGGCTGACGTTTTACACTGACCACTTGCATTTTCCATCACCTGACACCTACTGTCCTGAGTTTGCTGTGAAAGCCTGTTTCTCTAATTCTAAGCTTCCCCCACCCCCGGTTGATGGACAGGTAATATTGGCTGCTATAAACTCGACATGTTAGGATCATAGCCAAGAGACCAGAAAAGCACACCTGCTCACTCTAGCCAACAGTGACCAGGTGACCAAATGATTCCATGTACTCCAGGTAGATGTTATACATATATTTATATATTTAACAAGTTTGTGTACTCGACAGAACTCCAGCATAACAGCCCATAATATCTAGAAACCTGTTTCAAGTCCAAAGCAGGTAGAGCACAGGTTCCATTAAGGTGGTTGAGAATCCGAATCCTATACAGGCTTAAGGCTGAAAACCAGTGTTCTGAAGGGTTGCCACTTAAGAAAAGGCTATACAAACCTTTATTTTAACATTTAAAAGGCTATACAAACCTTTATTTTAACATTTAAAAGAAAACTACATATTCATTCCAACAGCTTTCCCAGGCCTGGCGGCCCAATAAGTTACACACACAACTCAGGCACTTGAAGGCTATGGACACAGGTGATCACTAGGGAGGTGGCCAGAGTGAGAACTTTCCCACAGTGAGACCCCACAAGGACACTTTGGGGTCACAGGCCATGGGAACTGTTGCAGTGGAACCTTCCTCCAGATTACTGAACCAGGAAAAGCAGCATGGTTCTTGCTCAGGTGGGGCTTCCTGGATGCAAGGCCAGGGACTGCGTGCTCAGCAGGGTACACTGGGGGCAGTGATGATGGGCCCGCAGGTCTTGATGGAGCACTTCTCACAGTTGCACAGTGGCCATGGCTCCCAATTCTCTAAGACGATTTGCTAGCTAGCTCTTTGTTTTTTTGGCCGGTCAAAGACTTTGAGGAATTAGCTGTGATCCAGGGGTGCTCAAGGACTTCCGCTAGTGTTAGCCTCTGGCTTGCATTGTGCTTTAACAGTCTTGAAATGAGGTCCCTGGCTCCTTCAGTCACAAAGTCGGGGAATGTGAATTCAACCTGAAATATAAATGATAAAAATGACATGGGTCAGGTGTACATGAATAAACAGCAGCCCTTGGCAAGAACTGAAAGTAACACCCTACCCGTGATATCCTTCTGTAGGTCTCCTGGTAGGTCTGTGCCTCAAAGGGGGGCATCCCAACTAGGAACTCATAGCAGAGGACACCCAGGCTCCAGAGGTCCACCTTCTCATCGTGCATCCGGCCCTCAATCATCTCGGGGGGCAGGTAGTCCAGGGTGCCACACAGTGTGGTTCTCCTGAAAATGAAGGAAGCTGGGTTGACACTCTGACCTACATGGCAATGTGGCATGAGCACCCACCCCTCCCCCTGCTCAGAGCTGTCAGACAGGTGCTCACCTATATCCCACGTTTACGAAATGGATGGCGGGGAGTGTGTAAGGTCACACACTAGCCATCGTGCTTCCCCAGCAACAGCTCCAGAACCTCTTGGAAATCTCTCATCCCAGTAGCCCTGTCAGGACAGTCTGGAGAACTTTGGAGGCCAGTCTGGGCTTTGAAGCAAGAACCCATCTTAGAAAACAGAGGCGCCATGCAGTGTTCTCCGTGAATATAATTTGGAGTTCTGCATGAGCTCTCAGAGAAGGAACACTACCATCCTAGGCTGGGAATGTTGGCGGATCCCCGTAATTCCAACATCTGGTGGGATGAGGCAGGATTGACAGAGGTTCAATTCCAAGGCCCACCTGGGCTACAGTGTGAGCCTGTGTCAGTGATGCGGAGAGAGAAAAGCAGAGCCGTGGAAATGTAAGGGTCTACAAGATGGGCGAAGCACTGCATGGAGTGTCTGTCACCAGGTTCACTCCGGCTGCTCTTGGTTTGGGGCTTAGAAATGAAATTTTCTATTTTACATGTGTTTTGTCTACATGTCTGTACACATGAATGTTATGTCCAAGGAGGCCAGGAAAGGGTACTGCGTCTCCTAAACCTGGAGTTACAGAGAGTTCTGAGCCACCACATGGGTGCTGGGTACTGAACCCAGGTCCTCTGCAAGAGCAGCCAGTGCTCTCAACAGCTAAACCCCTCTCCAAACCTTCTTTTTAAAGTGCCTTACTATGTGGCCCAGAATAGTCTCCAAGGAGCAATTCCTGACCTCAGCCTTCTAACTGCTGCTGGGACTACAGCTATGTCCCACCACACCTGGCTGAGATGTTTGTTTTAGTCTTACCAGGCTGGCCTCAAACTTGAGATCCTCCTCTCAATTCCTGGGATTAAAGTATACACCATCACACTGGGCTTGGCTAGCTTCTCTCTCACCTCTCACAGAGGGAGGGCTGTGGGGGTTTGGGGGGTGTTCTGATTTAAAAACAGCTATAAAACATCACGGACAGCTAGAGAAATCTAGCTACTAAGAATTCAGCTAACCATGGCGGTCACAATGGTGGTGACTGTGCAGGGCACCTGTCTTATGGAATGTACACTGAGGCATAGCGATGCTGTGGCTGACTAAATGCCCACAAAGCCGATGCCACGGTGTCCAGGGCTCTGGAACATTGCTGTGGGCTGTTGTGCTGCCATCACCAATTCGGCGTTTTTGATCCATTTGTGTTTTGAAAGCCACAGCTGGAACAAGCCAAGTGCAGACAATGGAAGCGAATGTTGCTGAGATACTGCAGGGGCATACTCAGCAATTCATGCCTGGTGCCCCACAAGCCCTCTGTGGGAGTCTCAAAAGATGGGCCCCAAAATCCAGCAACTCTGATGAGGACTGAATTTGAGAGGCAGCTGGAGCAGCTGACAATCCCCACTCCTATCGTCTCGCCTGAACCCTGCAAGCCGTCTCTATCCTGATGCCACCACTGGACAGATCACAGTCCAGGCTGATCGCACAGCTCCAAGGCACCTACAGCTCTCTGGTGTTGATTTCACTGGGTAGCAGAAGTGCCCACTGATGTCATCAGTTCAAAAAAACCTGCCACACTGCAGCTGAAGACAAACAGAAGTGACCTTAAACTGCACAAACCATTTTTTCTTTTGCTTTTTTTTCCAAGACAGGGTTTCTCTGTGTAGCTTGGAGCCTGTCCTGGAGCTTGCTCCAGGCTGGCCTCGAACTCAGAGATCCACCTGCCTCTGCCTCCTAAGCGCTGGGACTAAAGGCTGTGCCAACTCTTATAACAGGCACTAATCTTCAAGACTACATTTATTTGTGTGCTTTGAGTGCGTGCTTACGTCAAGAGGACATCACAGAGCGAGAGGTGGGAGGACAATTTGGCCTGACTCAGTCCTCTCCCTTCCACCCAATGGAGCCACGACCGAACTGGCTCAGCAACAAGCACCTTTACTTATCGAGCTTTCTCCTCCAACCTCTAACAGGCTTCCTAAAAAGCGGCATTTGGTAATATTTTAAAAAGCAATCCCCAAAGTGGGCAAGACCTTGACAGCAGGAGCACGCTTGAAGACACCCCATTCACAAGCTGGAGAGATGGCCCAGCAGTTAAGAGCACTGGCTTCTCTCCTAAAGGACCTGGGTTCAATTCCCAGCCATATGTGGCACTTTACAACTGTTTGTAGCTCCGGTTCTAGAGGACCTGACACCCTCACACAGACATGCAGACAAAACACCAACACACATAAAGTAGATTAAAATTTAAAGACACCCCATTCACATGAAAAATCAAAGCTACTCAAACCCAACTTCGATTTGCAAAGTTTGCCTCCTTTTCAACTGCCGCATTAGACGCCGTCCCTGCCTCAGCTTGAGAGGAGACAGTAAAGGTCTAATTCCTGCTGCACCAACACTGCCTGGTTTCGCTCTGTCCGCCACCCCAGTTCAAGGCCCCCAGAGTGCATCTTTGTTTATCGATCAGACATCAGCCAGACCTCTAAGTCCATCGCCCTCTTCCATTAGCATCTCGGGATATTCAGAACCTGTAAGCTAAGGCCTAGAGTGCCAGAGCCCAAAATGGTCACAGAAAAAAGCTTTATCAAATCTACAGTGGTCCCAAGTATTCCTAGGTCAGCCAAGGCCCCTTATTTCAGAGTAAACTAGCATTTACTCAACAGTCCCCACCCCCACCCCATCCAGGGCTTCCACCTCTGGACTCCCATACCTGGAAGATGGAGCATGTACAGACCACCCGAAGTCTGCGATCTTCAACTCTCCATTTGGCCCAAGAAGCAGGTTCTCTGGCTTAATGTCTCTGTGGATGACTCTCTTTGAATGACAGTAAGACAGAGCGTTTGCCAACTCGGTGATGTACTGTTAGGGAAAAAGCATTGAAGGCAGCGTTAGCTTTATGTAAAGCAGCCAGGCAACTGTGAAAGTTGATCCAATGAAGACTAACACGGTTTTCAGCTTTTGAAGTAAACTCATTCTTTTGTAGCTCACAGTAGAGACCAATGAGGCTGGCACCCACTGCACACTGCAAGAGCAACGGCAGCTATGGGCAGCAGGAGTGAGGGTCAGCCAGTACTCCCTGGCACCGCGTCCCCCTCACCTCCCAGGCTGTGGGACTGGGGCTACACCCCTTACATTGCTCTGCAGTTTCTTAAATTACATGAGGAGTAAACGGGGGGGGGGTGTGCTATGCTAATTAATAGGGAATAAATATTCTTGGCTTATATCTCAATGCACACAATTGAACTGAAATCTTAAATGGAGAAGCGCAAATAAAATAGATGATGCTTTGTCCACGTACCAAGTCTGAAGCA